TGTGGGCCCTGTGCCAACCCCAGGGGTGCCTGTCCCAGGGGATACCCACCCTGGTGGGAAACCCATCCCGGTGGGATACCTGTCCCAGAGCGATGCCCTCCCCAAGGATACCCATCCTGGGGCTATGCCCAGCCCTTGTGGGATGCTTAGCCCAGGGGAAAACACACCCCAGGGTGATGCACACCCCAGTGGGATGCTCATCCCAAGGGGGTGTCTGTCCCGGTGGGATGCCCGTTCCAGTGGGATGCCCATTCCAGTGGGATGACTGTCCCAGGGGGATGCTCATTCTGCTGGGATGCCCGTCCCAGTGGGACACCCATCTCGGAGGGAAGTCTATCCCGAAGGGATGCCCATCCCAAGGGGATACCTGTGCCAGCAGGACACCTGCCAGCCACAGAACTACACCCCACCTTTGCCCCAGCCTTTCTCTGGCTGTGGCCAGACCCCACACACGGATGCGGGGCTGTGTGTGGGGCCAGTGGCCATCCCCGACCCCTCTGGCCCCCGCCCCGGTAACCCCAGTGCCCTCCCCGGCCCCCCTCCTCCCCCGGAGCCGAGGGGAGCCGTCAGCCCCGGCCGGGAGCGGTGATGGACGATGCTCATTCCCTGTCTGCCGTCTTGTACCTCCCGGGGCCGCTCCCAACGCCCGGCCTCGGCGGCACCAACCCCGCCGCCCCGGCGAATTCCAGCGCCGGAGATGCCGCAGCCCAGGTGCCATGGTGATGGGCGCCCCAGCCCTGCCGAGGGACCGGCCGGGATGGCTGGGCTGGAGACGGGCACAGCGGGAGAAAGAAGGGGGTCTGAGGGGAGGGGATGGCGGAGACGGGAGGGAAGGAGGAGAAGGATGGACAGACAGCGGCTGGAGGGGCTGATGGACACGGAATCGGGAGGTGAGTAGGTGGAGAGGTGATGGATGGACAGATGGACGTGGGCAGCAGACCCCACAGTGTGGGGACATTGGTGTGTCCCCCCAAGCTTGTACCCTCCCTTCCTCAGCCCCCCCAGACACAGATCAGGTCAGGACTGATAAAAATATATCCTTTATTCTTCTCTAAAGGCTATCAGTGACACCTGTAACAAAGCATCATTATTATTAATTATTATTAATTATTATTTTCTTTAATTACAAAAACCAGGGCCTGGGGCCAGCGAAGCGGGGAGGGGGCGGCGGCATCAAACCGTCCACAATAAATATTTTATTTACAGCGAGAAGGGGACCCCGTGGAGCCGGGGGGTGGCCGGGAAGGTGCGTGGCACCGAGCCCACCCGTGGCAGGACGGGGGTCCCTGGGAGGGCACATCCATACCCCCTCCCACGGGCGCCTCCAATCCAGCCGGGCACCAGTCATGGGGGGTGTGTGGCACAGACCCCCTCCGGGGCTGGGCAGGGCGGTCCCGGGGGGTCGGGTGGGGGGGGTCACAGACACTCGTGCAGCACCTGGGTGTTGGTGCAGTTGAGGCAGCTGACGTGGCAGCACCAGTGGAAGGTGCAGTTGCAGCGCTCGGTGACGCGCTGGGTGCGCGTGCGGTACCCGCGCCCGCAGCACAGCAGCTCGCACCCGTCCAGCCCCGGCGAGGAGCTGTTGCAGAACCTCCCCGCCGTGCCCGCCGTGCCCATCTTCCCACTGTAGGTGCAGAAATTGGGGGACTTCTCGAAGTAGACGAGGTCGTGGGGCGAGGGCGGCTTGTGGGCCGGGTTCTCGGGCTCCAGGTGGTGCAGCTCCACCCTTGATGCCCGGTTGCTGCCCTTGTTGCCGTAGATGACGCGGGAGGCGCCGTCGAAGCGATCCTTCAGGACGTCGCCCACGGCGCGGAAGGTGGGCAGCCGCATCCAGCAGGTGCGGACGGTGCAGGAGCCCGACATGCCATGGCACTTGCACTCCTGGCGCATCTCCGAGAAGACCGTCTGGAAGGGAAGAGGGGGGGTTTGGGGTGCTGTGAGCAGCCTGGAACCCCCCTGCCCACCCCGGGGACCACGGAGCTCCTGCACCCCATTTCCCCACAGCGCCACATCGTGCTCAGCCTCCCAGAGCCAAATGGGAGACTCTCCTCTGACAGTTCCCAACCGGCACATGGGGACAGGCTGGGTGGCTTGGTGGCCGTGCCCATCCCAGTGCCCACACCAGCGCTGCCTGCAGCCCCCAGGGCACGCCCTCCCCATGCCCCTGGTGCCCTCCCCATGCCCCTGGTGCCCTCACCATGCGCCCGGCCTCGTTGTTGTGCAGGTTCATGAGGAAACGCAGGTCTCGGCCCTTCTCACTGGAGTCCACAAACTCCCTCCCGAAGAGGCGCCCGAAGTCGATGTTGTCACTGCAGCCCCCCCAGTGCCAGTCGGGCCCCCCGGGGCCACGGCGCCGGTAGTCACAGGTGCAGGACTCGATGGACCCCTCGGAGCACGACCGGGCCACCGAGTGCGTCACGCCGGCGCTGGTGATGGCAAAGATGAACGCCGTCTCCCGGCAGCCTGCGGGGGGGAGCGGGGCCTCAGGGTGCTGCCAGGGTGGGGAGGGGGCACCCAGCAGCACCCCCAACCCTCCACCACGACAGGCTGGTGATGCCCCACAGCAAACCAGGGGCGCTTTGCCGAGCATCCCGGCTCGGGGGTGCACGGAGGGGGTTGGGGGGACCCCCCGTGCTGCCCCTGCAGCCTCACCCCGGTTGACGATTTTGCCGAAGATGTTGGGGCCCTGCGAGGTGGGACAGTTCCAGCGGCGGTTGCGGAACTGCCACTTGCACTCCTTGATGGCTGTCTGGAGGCCGGAGCTGACGCTGTGCAGGATGCCGGGGTTCTGCCGGATCAGCTTGCGCTGCTTGCGGCTCAGCAGCTGCAGGCTGGGGTCCAGCACCAGCTGCACGTTCTTGGAGTCCGTCAGCAGGTTGGTGGACGAGGCCACGTTGATGATGCCCCTGTGGCACAGGTGGGGACAGTGACCACCAGCGGGGGGTCCCCGGCGTCTCCCTCCTCACCTGAACCTCCCCGGGGACTCCTTGATACTACTGGAGCATCCTCCTCCCCGGGTATCCCCCGCGGGGATCCCACCCCGGGGATTGCAGCCCTATGTCCCTCCATGTGCCCCATCCCCGGGTACGGGGCAGCTGCTGCTGCGCCGGTGCCAGCCTCGCTCTCCCACTCCACTGCCCCGGTACTGGTACCGGTGCCGGTGCCGTCGGACTCACCACCACCGCCCGCTGTTGTTCACCGCCAGCGTGTTGGAGAGGGAGGAGAGGGCCAGAGCCCAGAGCGCCCGGAGCGCCAGCCCCAGCGCGGCCGCGCGCATGGCTCCGGCCCCGGGAGCCCCGGCAGAGTGCGCGGGCGAGCGGCCGTCCCGGTATTTATGGTGCCGCGGAGCCCCCGGCCCGGCCGCTACATCCACGCGTGTTTCCGGACGCGCGGGGCGGCTCCGAGATCAGGACGGCCGCGGGGGGACGCGGGGAGCGCCGGGCGGGCGGGCCGGCACCGGCGCAGGGGTGCAGCCGGTGGCCGGGGCGCGGCGTCGGGGGTGCGGTGCCCGGCGCTCCCTGCCCGGTCCCTGGAGCGCGGCGTCGGGCGCTCCGTGCGCGGTGCCGCCGCTGGAGACCCGGTGCTCGGCAGTCGGTACCGGTTCTCTGCAGTCCGTTCGCGGGACCCGGTGCCGGTGCCCGGTGCTCGGTGCCGGCGGCTCCCCGGAGAGGCGGCCCGGTTGGACTCGGCTCGGCGCGGCGGGTGCGCAGCGCTCAGCACCCGGGAGCATCTTCCAGCCCCTTCCCTCTTATAGGGGCGGCGCGGAGGGTCCCCGTGGGCCGGTCCCGCCGCGCGGGGCCTCCCCGCGTCCTCGCCCTAACAATGGGGAGCGGCGGAGCCGCGGCACCTCTTACGGGGCGGCGGGAGCGGCGGCGCCGGGGCTGTCCGTCACGGGCCGGATTAGCCCGGCGGGTGGCTGCGCCCCGGCCCCGTGCCCAGAGCCCCCGGCTGCCGTCCCCCGCCCTCCCCGCCGCCCCTCGCACACGCTCTACCGGCACCGGCGGGGGGAGCCCGGCACGACCCGCGACAGCTCCCGGCGCAAGGAGGAGCCGGTTCCCGAATAGCCCGGGACGGCCCGGGACGGCTCCGGGCGTACGGAGGGAGTGGGGAAGGGGGATAGCCCGGGATCTCCCGGGACAGCCCGGGGTGCACAGGGAGGTGGAGTGACGGGATCTCCCGGGACAGCCCCGGGCGCACGGGGGAGGCAGAATTCAGGGACCACCGGTTTTGCGGGGGACAGGGCGTGCAGCCCCCCGGGACGTAGGACCACCGGAGCCGCGGTGGTGACGGTGCCGGTCCGGAGCCCCCGGATCCCCCTCTCGTCCCGATCCGTGCCCGGCGCGACAGGACGGCCGCGTCCGTCGCCGCTCGGGACCGGGCTGTCCCGGGCTGTTCCGGGCTGTCCCGGGCTGTCCTGGTGGCACCCCGCGCCCTCGTGAACGTGCCCGTGGACACCCACGGAGTGCACAACCCCCGTGGGCGCGGCACGGCCCCACACGGCTCCCGCTGCCCCGGGGCGCCCGGTCTGGGCCGGTACCGGGTGTGTCAGAGGGACGGATGAACAGGGGGGACGGAGGGACTGAGGGAGATAGAAGAATGAAGGGCAGGGGGTGCCCGGACGCAGGGGGGGCGGTCCGGGGTGCCCACGGCCAGGACACGGTCACGCAGGGCCGGTGCTGGTGGCCCGGTCTCGGTTGGGACAAGGCTCTGTCCCCGCTGTCCCCGGGCGGGTGTGAAGTCCCCGGTGCGGAGCCGGGCGGGCCGGGGGGGCTGAGCTGAGCCCCCCGTTGGGGCGGGGGCCGGGGGGGTGTAATCCCCCCGCCGCGGTTTCCCCGGACCAGTCATGCGGGGCCGGATTAGCCCCGCTCGCCCGTCACGGCCCGGGGCCGCCGCTCATCAGTTCAATTCAGGGACGGACAAAGCCCGGGACGGCGGCGGCGGGGGGCTCGCACCGGGCACCCCCCGCACCCCCTCCCCCGGCCCGGCAGGGGCCCAGGGCCGCCCCGGGGTCTGATCCAGGACGGCTCTCCCGCCTCCCCCCGCCCCGGTTCCCGGCCGGGCCGGGCCGTGTCCGCGCCCTCCGGCCACCGCCCCGTCGGGGCTCCCGGGGCTGAGGTCAGCGGCCGCGGGGAGGCCCCGGGGCGCGGCCGAGAGGGCCCTGCCCGGGGTTGTGCCACCAGCGGCGGGGCCCAAACACGGCCCGCGCCTCCCCCGCTACATCCCGGGATTCTCCGGGACCTCCGGACCCCTCGCACCCCCTACCCGCTGCCCCGAGGCCCCGTTGCCCCCCATCCCCTCTGCTGCGACCCGACGGCGGCCCGAAGGGCGATGCTCGGGAACCGCCCCCAGCGCCAGGGGTTCGGTGGAGCCGTTCCCGCAGCCGTCGGTGCTGCCGGTGCCCTCAGGGCGGCCGCCGGTACCGGTCCGGGGCCGTGGCGCCCGTCCCGTCGCACCAGGCAGGGGCAGACGGACGGACAACGGGGACATACGGACGAGGAGGGGACCCGGGGGTCCACCGCACCCGCTGCCAGTCCCTGCCCTGTCCGTGAGCACCGGGACGGCCTCGTTACAGCCGGTACCGGGACGGCGCGGGCGGGCTCAGCCTGGCCCGGGGTTCCCGTATGGGGGGAGCATCCCCGGGACCCCCGTGACGTTTTGGGGTCCCCGCCCTCCCGTGAAGCACAGAGCACGCCGGGGTCGGACGGGGCCCTGCCCCCCCCCCGGTGCGCACGGCGGGGGGGGGGGAACCGGGACCCCCCCGCTCCCCATCACCCCATCCCGACCCCC